CCTTGCCTCCCACGACTACGTACAAATCACATAAGTTTATCATTCTAAATATTGAATCATATTTTTATTATAAATTAAATATAATAACTCACCACTCGATAGAGCTTAACCCTAACATTCGTGGATGAACTTCTTTCCTAAAAATATTTATATTTTGAGTTAATTTTTAATATAATGATTAATATAATTAGATATATAATACAGCAAAACTTAAGCTACTATAGAAAAATAATAAAAGTCACATACATCCTATGCAGTTCTTTCCAGAAGCAAATTTTCTAACATATATATATATAAATTACTATTGACCAATACTAAATACAACCTCTACATAAAATGGCAGTTACTATAATAAGCACCCTTCATATTGTAAAATCCAGAGAACAATGCTTTGCTTATCATCCTATGATTTGTCAAACATGAAATACAGCAATTGGAATAATATGGTACTGAAATTGACACCTTCGACTAGGAATGGCTAAAAGTATTACAACTGAGGTTTAACATGCCCAGATGCTGTTTTATAAAGAAACAGACTAGAAAAAGGTTTAGATACCAATCATAGATGGCAGGACCAGTGCTGAAGTGCAAGGAAAAAATTTTAAAAAATGTTTTTCTTAGAGGGCACTTATTTATAGTGTTAAACATATTTTGGGATTTTTATTATTAAACTTCTCTTCAAACTTCATTAAATAATACAATATAATACAAATAATTGAATGCTATTCTACTATTTACAAAAATAAAATCTGAAATCCAATAAAAGATAAATTCTCTATATTTTTTCAATTCACAAATGTGATTTTGCCCTCACGATAAGACAAGATGGCCCTAGTAGGTAAGGGGTAAACTACAAGGGACATTCCCATCTTGGAAATTCTAAATTACCAATCTGAACATATCCTTATGATCTGAGTGTATGGATATTTTGCATTGGAAAGGGCTGCTACATAGTCTACCTAAAAGTTATCAATATTTGGTGGCATCACACTATCTGCAAAATGTTGATTCAAGTCAAAATACAGTTCTGAGATATGCAGTTCCCCTGCATCTTTATATCATTTGTGGTTGTCAGGTGACTTTCTGATTTGCATATTCAAAATTGTTTTAATATAACTTAACTCTGTATAAATGTATGTTAATATGTGATGTTGAGATAGATGTGTTTGTGTTAGTACATAGGTGTTTTACATTAGTTGTGGACCAGTTGGTGTTTATTTAATTTTATACATAAATGTTATATATACAAGAACACAATTATTCAGGCATATATAGAATTTGTCTTATAATAGTTGGAGATGGGGCATGTAACGTGCATCCTATCTAGATGCCTTTTTTTTTTTCCTAGAAAAGGTTGATTCGTGGCCTGGTTAATTTTACAAACAACCTTAAATTGCAAGTTGTACCCTGATGTATCACACATTGAGTTGACTAGATGTTTTCTATCCAGACATTCTGTATAAAGCCATAGTTTTTGAACATTGGTTATCTTACTTCTTGACCAGCGAACTAGCCTGAATAATAGAGCATGACTTCTTGCATATATATGATGACCCACTGCTGATGCTGTTAACACTTGGAAGAAAGAAAAGATGGTGCTCAACCCAGAAGTGAAGCCCAACCTAAACCAAGCCAAGTGCTGACCCAATAATGTTTGGAGAAACGGAGTATTCTTGAAGCAACTGATGTGCTCACCAATGTGTCAGTTTCACCCCATTTGTCACATCCAAGTTGATGCCACTGAACACTTCAAAGAGATAACTCCAGAAGAACATAATTGGTTCTTATGTCTTGTGGGGTGGGGGGATGGTGGTTGCTTAAACTTACCATTATTTAGAGGCCCATTTTAGTGAACAAAAGAATAAAGATTGATTCTATTCACACACTGTTGTTCCCTTGTTTATTCATTGCTTTATGTATTTAAATTTATATGCTACAAAACATTTTCTGAATTTGCATTTTGCAGATAGTTAATACTCTTTCAGATATCAGTGTATTTAAATCCCCCCACACACACACACACACATACACGCACACAATTTTGGATGATGTGGAAATGCACTGTTATAGTTCTAAAAATCTCTGATTGAAATTTGTTGGATATGTTACAAGTTAACACTGCTGTTCATTTGATGTAGATTATATGTATTCCAAGCCACACATTTGTAAAATGAGACTCAAAATAGGACAATTACAGACATGTACATGTAAATATTCTTACTCAATAAAGCTTTTGATGTCATTTTTATTAGTGTCTAATAATTTTCTTAATATAGATTGGGAAATAAAAGACTTTACCTGAATTCTAGAAATTTTAAAATTACTATGGAAAGCTGATTTTTCTCTTATATGTATATATATTTGTCAAAATGTAACAAAATAAATCGGTGATACATGTATTGACTTGTAAATCAATAATGAAACACTGAAAATAATAGAAAACTAAAATAAGAGAGTAGATGTATTGGTTGTTCAATAAATCCAGTGCATTTGAGAATTTAAGGTAAATTCTTAATTCTTGGAGTTATTATTCATAGTGTTTGAAACAACATCTACATGCTCGGCTGACAGCCCTCCCACTTTGTGCAGAAATCCAACGAGCAACAATTCCAAAGGCAGCAGATGTTGGTAAATTCATGTGTATTACAGGTCAGTAATAAAATTATTCAAATTTTAAAAATAACTCAATACTTTTATTTGCTAGTACTTGTAAAATTTTGTATTTTACTAGAAAAGTTTAAAATTAACTGAAGTGGAAAATGGCTTACGTTTAAACTCTTAACACTGTAGGATTTTATGAAAAAATTAGGAGTAAAGTTAAAAATATCTGTGAGGTTCCACAAACAATGAGGCTGCTATGTATTCAGGTGAAACTATTTTCAGTTATATAAAAGGGAAAATTTTGTAAATATGTAATATAAAAATGGGTGAGTTCAACAAGAAAAAGTTGGAGAAACTCTTCCCCCCCCCTTTATATTCATGTTGCTGCTTTTTCCAGTTGCAATAAGAAAGGGAAGCCAAGTATTCCCCAATATTTTCTTGTTTAGCTTACTCAATTTTATGTTATCTTTTCAGAGTTTGTTCTTTTTTATCTATGACTCTCTTTTGTTTTGTATCACATTTCTATAGCTGACCTTAGCTCTTTTTGTACATTTGAAAGTTTTTGTTTGCTCTAGTGCAAAACTACACAATAGACAATCTACACTCTTTCCACCATTGAGAATTGAATACAAGATTTTAATGTTGTAAGTTCTATACCAGCAGAAATTATATGTCTACAGATCAAAAGTTTATTTCATGTCATAGATATTCAGGTTATATATATATCTCCATGTTCTTATATGCATGATTTTAATATTAACTTACAAAAGAGACTAGAAATTAAAAAAAAAGTACTAATTATCAGAAACATGAATGTAGTATATGAAGTAATAAAGTTGAATTTGAAGACCACCGAGGCATTTTGAAATTATAGGTAACACTTTAACAAAGGCATGCAATATCGTAATTTTATTTACAAAACTGGATAAAATTTCAATTTCATCCACTGTATACAAAAGAAATGTGATTATCATTTTGTAGTAGCAATTTTAGGTTTTTTAAAATAATGTGGAAAAAATAAACAAGTTTAATGTAAGACAAAGAAAAACGGGGTATCTTAAGGCTACTTTAAACATGTATGGTTAATAATCATACAGAATTGCATAATTAAATAGTTATTGAAAGAATAGAAAATGCTATTTTATGAATGTGTTCTACTATAAATGACAAACATCAGAAACATCTATGTTGATAACCAAAGGTGATTAAAGATTTAATTCATGAGAGATAAAGTTTGAGAAATACATAAAAGTAATAAAAATGAAAACTATAAATTATAATATTAACAGGAATTTAGTAACAGAATTAATAAGAAAAGCAAACAGATAATTTAATTAAATTAGACTCAAAACTGTTGTTATAAGACATATGAAATTGTATATGAGAAATACACACACACATTTAAAACAGATTTGTTCATCTGTCTCTGGTGTCGCAAATTGTTGTAAGAAACTGTGAACTATTTCTGATGAAATTTGGTAAAGGAACTCTGTGGATCTACAACCCACAAAAATTGAATTTAAATGAATAAATAATTAGACAAACAATACTAGTTTCAATTTTGCCACCTTCATACAATGCAATTGGGTTCAACTGAGTGAGGAAGATGATAAAGTATGTGAAGCAGACACCAAACAAAAGTGACAATGTTGCCTATAGTATGGGTACATTTGCATTGGATGACCAGATCATTTGCTGTGGCTCAAAACTGTAGAAAGGAGCAGGTCATGCTGCCATTTATAGCATTAATATTTAAGGTACCTTTGCTAGTTTTAAATAAGAAGAATAAATAAATGAAGTGATTATTAATAGCATGTCTAAAAATCTATTTATCACAACCAGTAAATAATTTTTGTCTTGCATGCTGAAATGTTTCAGTAAATAAAAAGTAAATATCCAAGGTGAATGCAACATAGTGATTTAAGTGTTAAAACAAATATTTGTAATCAAACTATATTTTCCACTTGAAGGTCAAAATATTACTAATTCACTGGATAATAAAATGATTTCAAGTAATAGTAATAATATACAAATTATGGAAGTTAAGCAATGTAGTATATTAGTTCATGTTTTAGTGAATTGGTGAGTGTGACATTTAAATCAGGCAAGTACTGGAAAAATTAAAAAGCTGAGAAGGATGAAAATAATAACCATAGACTGATTATATTTATATATATATATATATATATATATATATATATAT